CTGGTCTGGGTCTGGGTTCCTCCTTTTCACCTAATGGCATAGCTGGAGTCCTGCGTTATAAAGAATTTAATTACCTATAAACCGCAGGTTTTATTTTAATTTTTGCTTTTAATTCTTTAGTTTACTGTGGTTTTATTTTTGTTTGTTTGTTTGTTTTGTTTTCTTTTTGAACCATTTTTATTTTTATCCCTGTTCTGCTGTTAATAGTAGTTATTCCAATGTTATACTTTTGCTAAAGGTATTATTAGTTAGGGAGGATTATTTAAAATATTTCATCTGGAAAGAATGTTAAATGTGAAATGGTCATTGCCATTAGTTTTGTACGTTTTTATGTTATGTATTGTTAAAACAAACAAACAAACAAACAAACAAACAAACACGTAATGTTATGCTCAGTGTTGTACCCGGATTTGCCGCAGTAGCCAATAGCCGCTTGGTGTTGTGCTTAGTATTGTACCCGGAAGTTCCGCCGCTGGAGCGCAGCTGGGCGTGGCACAGACTTGACAACCCCTCCAGGTCCACTAGGACAGAACCACTCAGGTTGACAGCCACGTGCGTTTCACTCCTCCTGTGTTGTTGCTTTGCTACAAAATGGTGAGAATCCAACTTTTCCTCCTTAAATATAGTTTACTATTTATGCATTTTAATAAAATTTGTTTATGTAACCAAATATATGCTTACCTTGGCCAAAAAGGTAAAACCCTTTAGGCTAGTTAACTTTTTGGTTGATGAATGTAATTTTTTCAATTTAATTTAATAAAAAGGAGTTAAATAATAATGTGTTCAAAAAGTTAAAACATTAACATTGATGTATCCATCAGAGTTCTCCGGGACTTTGTGTTGCAATTTGTTGTTAAACAGGCAAATTAATGCAAATCTGACTGTGACCCGAGTTATTTACCTAACCAGACTAAATCACAGCTTCCTGTAAAAACAAGGTTTTTAACAGAGATTTTGTAACATGTCACATGTCCTGCTTTACCTGCAGACTGCGGCTGTTTTGCTTTAAGCTACGCCCTTGGGCAAAGAGCTTACATTAATTGCCCCTTCACAACACAGACTTTATGTATTTACTGTCTTATTGCACTCAAAGGTGATTTACATGCGCTGAGTTTCTCTGGAGCTCTTCCACAGTTTAGTAATGTTATCTCTGTCTGTAAGAAAACAATATTTATTGTTTCTTTGCTTTAATGTACATATAGGCTACAGCTTTATCTAGTTTCAAGTAAGATATAAATCATATGTGGAATGGGCAGCTTTTACTCATGTTGATCTTTTTTCATTGTTTAATGCACTTTTCCTAAACATTAATATATCGCCTCTTTTTCATGTCAGAGTTTTAAGTTCTGATTGGAAGGAACAGCGTTGCAGCTGTTTTGGTCAAAATGTCATGCTCGATCTCAGACTATGTTGTGAATGACTCAACTACCATGATGAATTTGAGCTCTTTATCTTTAAAAGTGACTCCATTAAATATATTTTTATGTTGTAAAGTTTTAACTAGTTGCTGTGACCATCTTAATTTGAGTTACAGTACCTCCAAAAGTGTATCAGTTGTACAGTAGATGTACATATTTTGATTATTTCCTGATCATTTCATTAAAATCTGCTCTGTGGTTACTGAAATATTTTGCTAACAGACAAGATTTCACAAAAAAAAGAAAGAAAAAAGAATGGCAACATTTTGTCATAACAAGCGGTACTCCGATTTCCTCCTTTGCTGAAAGATCTGAATAATAAATGTTAGTATTTTTCGAGATGAGTGTTTTTCTGGACTGGACTTAAACAGGAAATGCAAGAAAACCTAAATGGTTTTTGGTGCAAGAGGGATGAATCCTGGGGAGCAATTTTATCCACCACCAGGTGCAAAGGCAGAGCTAATGGGTGGCCATTGAGGGCCACGGCCTCCTTAGAATGATCTCTGGCCACCCCAGTCATTTAAGGACAAGCAGTATAAAACCATAGTTTCCTCAAAATGACAGGGGTGTTCAGCCATCTTGGATTTTGACATGGAAACCCAATTTTTGATACATCTATATGCAGCCACACACCAAAAATAGAAGTTGATACCTCACTTATTTTTGAAGTCACCCAACTCACAAGGCAGATGAACAATGAACAGATGAGCGGATGGTACTTCCTCTTTGCTCCATGACGGGGACAATTCCTCTTTGCTCCATGACGGGGACAATAAAAATGACTCAAGACAAACATTCCTGAACTTTAGAAACGTTGATGTTTTCCAATCTTTCCTTCACTTTCTTTCCTTTACAGCTGCGCTTCCTGTTGCTGTTCAGTCGGCAGGGGAAGCTGCGACTGCAGAAATGGTTCACACCGTGTTCGGAGCGGGAGAAGAAGAAGGTGATCCGGGACATGATGACGTTAGTGTTGCCTCGGCCGCCGCGGACGTGCAACTTCCTCCACTGGAAGGACCTGAAGATCGTTTACAAAAGGTGTTTTATTAAAACAGCTGAGTTAGCACATGCAGCGGTCTGCTCCCATCTTCTGTTTTTTCCTCTTTTAGTTTCTACCTATAAGAAAAATGTCCAATAGAATAACAAGAATATGTTCAAATATAATGTAACCTGTCCAAGATGACACAATAAAATGTGTAAAGAATATTCAGTATTTAGTTTTAGGGGGTACTTTTGTGTTTGTAGCTGATTCCATGTTTGGGACAAAGCCTCAACTCTCTTGACTAATCAAATATGTTCATTATTAAATATCAATATAACATATTAATATTTATTTAAGCCACAGATGACCCAGATTTCTAAATAAAAAAATGTCTAAATTTAATTAATGTCGTCCACTTTAGACAGTTAATCTTTTGCGTACAATTAAAATAAACTTGCTTTATAAGACAGAGTTTGTTGTGGCTCCTTGGACTGATGAAGTCCTTTGGAAGAAAGACAAAATGTTTCAACAGAAAATAAACCATCCAGAAGACCTGACTGAACTTTGATGGATTTTATCTGGATCACTGAGCATGAACTTTGATCTATGAGATCAAACTTTCTCTTTGGGGTTGTTGCTGTACTGTTGACTGCTGTGTGTCCTGACTTGTCTTTCTGTGCAGGTATGCCAGTCTGTATTTCTGCACTGGTTTGGAGGATCAGGATAATGAACTGCTTGCGCTTGAAGTTCTGCACAGATACGTTGAGCTGCTGGATAAATACTTTGGCAATGTAAGTACAGTAGTCCCTCGTTTGTTGCGGGGGATCCGTACCCTGAAGACCCGTGATAAGTGAAAAACTGCCAAGTAGGAATAGTAGTACAAGTAGTAAGTAGTAGTTTATTTTATTATTTACCATATTTTCCTCCGTACACGTCGCTCCACCCTATAAGTCACATCAGTCCAAATATGTCTAATAAAGTGGAAAAACCCATAAATATGTTGCTTCGCTGTGTATGTCGCATCTATTACGCGTCACTGCTGACCATCTGGAAATATGAGCCGGCAATGTACCAAAAATTGATTGGCTGCTAAATGGCGACCGCAGGAGCATGCACAGGAAGACAAGAATTTAACAAGATTAACACTTAAAAACAATTATTTGTTTGCTAGAAATTATAGTAAAGATGTGTCTCAGTCCAACTTTTGCTTAATAAATGCACTTTGACCGTCAAATCAGCTGCATTTTAAAACCCAATTCACAGTCGCGGGATTGTGCAGAGGGACGAGTCGTGCATTTCTTCTAAATTTAACAAGATAACCACCTAAAAACAATTATTTGTTTGCTCAACTTTATAGTAAAGGTGTGTCTCAGTTGAACTTTTACTTAATAAAAGGACTTTAACGGTCAAATCAGCTGCATTTCAAAAGTATTCACTACCTCGGTGCTCCGGAAACACGCAGAGGGAGGACATCAGGAAGGAAGAACGTTATGCATTTCTTCAAAATTTAACAAGATAAGCACTTAAAACATTTTTTTTGCTCGAAATTATAGCAAAGGTGTATCTCAGTTGAACTTTTACTTAATAAATGCACTTCAATGGTCAAATTAGCTGCATTTTGCCTGTCGTAAAATGGCTGGTGAAGGTAAACCCAATGATGCAGGCAGGCAGTAGCAGACTAAGGAGATTATAAAATAAGGTATTTATTAACAAGAAATCAAAAAGGCTAATGGTGCAGCAAAACTTACATGAAATCACAAGAAGCAGATGAGACATCACCAGTGACAGAGACACAGAGTTATATAGTGACTAATGAGACAAAACACCTGTGAGGACACACAGCTGAAACTCATCAGGGGAAATGACAAACTAGGAAACCAGGGAGTGCAGGAACAGACACACAACACCAGATGGGGGCATACAATAGGAAAACACAAACCCTATAGAAAACAGAAACTGAGGATAAGAAGGACACAAGACATAAACACAACACAAATGGGGCTAAACACCAGGAAACAGACCACAGTCCCTACATCACCGGGGTGGTGCAGCGAAATGAAGCTGATTTGATGGTTGCTCCAGGCGAACTCAACAAAGGTGGCAGTTTAAGGCAAGCTGATTGTGTCATTAATAGCCACTTTTAACTATTACATGACACAACAGCATGCCATACTACTCGAGTGCCATCTAGTGGATGAAAACGATCATATCTCAGCCAAAAATTGGTTTATAAATATGGGGAAAAAAACATAAATATGTCACATGGCATGCAAATTATGCAAAAAACTGTGATCTGTAGGGCTAAAAATATGATATATATATATATCATATCATCAATCCCTTTAAGCTCTGGGCCTCACTGGTTCCTAAATGGCTGAAGAAAAAGCTATTTGGGAGCCGATTACCCAGTCTCACCGTAATTTATACGGACCAAGCGTGAGGCCCACACAGCAGGTGGGCATGGACTAAAGTTTTCAGTGCTGCGCTGTGCGCGTAGGGATAAACCCACTAGCGACAGCCTTAAATGGCCACGCCTATACTCATAGAATCTGGGGTTACAGTACGTAACCAACGTTATTTCAGTTTACAATGGTTAAAATGGCTTTATCGCAACCTTCGAGTATTATTAGACTTGAGAATCCTTGTAGTTCTTTTTCTCCTGTCTGCGCCTTCAACTGCACTCAGCCCCTCGTTCTCCCTCACTGAATACAAACACAGCACCTCACCAGTGTGCGCTACCCCCACCTCCTGCTTCTCAAGGTAGGTGGTGGTGGGGTTAACACAAGTAAACAGAGAGGAGAGCAGCGCTGCTGTGCAAAAAAGAAAAAAAAAGTAAAAACAATGGCTGTTATTTAGAGATAGTTTGGATTTAAATAGTCAGATGAGCAGCAGAAAAATGTTTTCTCTAGACGATGCTGAAAACAAGTCCCAACAAACGTGAGAACTACGAATCTTCTTCACCATTTACAACAGCGCTATAAGTTTTAAGCTGCAGCTCCGACTGTGTTTTCAGACTCCTTTCCTGAACAAACCACGGGTTAAAACTCATTTCTTAGCCATGCTGTGCTTTATGAGAGGAACAGTGTGAGGTGGTGCAACATTAATAAATCAGCAGCTTTTCATGTCGAAGACACGGTCGGCTAACAAGACGGCTATAGTTAGCCGTCTTGTTAGCCGCTAAGGACCATGTCTTTAGTGATGCTTCACATACGCTTACTAACATTGTGAAGCACCTGAAGAAGATTATTATTTAATATATGTATGGTCAATAGTTTATTTTTAGACATTTAGTAGCGTTACAGCAGTTTGTTAATAAATGTTACTGTGTGACAGTTGGGACAAAGTGTTGACTCAGAAATATATTTTTGTTATTACTTTATAGAAAGAAAAATATATTAATTCATTCAACCTTTATTTAAACAGATTAGTCTCATTGAGCCACGGTACTCATTTACAAGAGAGACCTGTTTTAAAAAAAATGATGACAACAGTAGACAATCATAAAAGAAAGCATACAGTATGAATTGAAAAAATTGAAGAAAATTATATTAAAAATGAACAAAAACAGCTGCATTATAAAGCGATGTAAAATACTAAAAACAGGAACAAGTCTGCATTGGCTTGTGCCATGAATTTAGCAGATGTTTGAATATCGAGATATATATCGTATATTGCGATTTACCTTTAAAATATCGAGATATTAATTTTGGTCCATATTATACAGCCCTATGAGTCGCAGGGCATGCAAATTATGTTTAAAAATGTGACTTATAGGCCGAAAAATATGGTAGAACACATCCGAACCCTCATCCCTCTAAACTGCAAACAGGAATAAACCATAAAAGTTGAATGTAGATCCTCTTTATGGAGCATTATAGAATAAATCTGCTTCTATCATTCGTCTGTGCTTTTTAAAGGATTCACAGGTGTGTGTGTGTGTGTTCTGTTTCAGGTGTGTGAGCTGGACATCATTTTTAACTTTGAGAAGGCCTACTTCATCCTGGACGAGTTCCTGATGGGCGGAGAAGTTTTAGAAACGTCCAGATTTGCTGTGGGTGTGTCCATGGAGGAGTCAGACACTCTGCAGGAGGTAGTAACCTTTAACGAACTGTCAGCTAGTTAAAAGTATGCACACCCTTGATCTTTTCCACATTAAGCTGCCTAACAAACACAAAGTTCAAAGTATTTTGCTGGAGTTACTTTCACTTTATGTGACAGAGCAACAAAAAATAATCTACTTGTGAAGGAAAATGATCCACGGTTTTCTACATTTTGTGTAAATAAAATCCTGAAAGCTGTAATGTGTGTTTGTATTCACCCCCTCTGCTCTGATCTCCCCTGACTGAAACCCAGAGCAACCAGCAACCTTCAGACTCACATTACATCGAGTCCTCCCATGGGTGATGTTGTGTGAAGAGGTTTGTTACAGAAGATTCGTGGTCAAACAGCATCATAAAGACCAAGAAACACAACACACATGTCAGGGATAGAGTTGTTGAGGATTTTATAGAAGGGTTAGTTTGGGGGTCTGCAATCTGCGGCTCTGGGGCTACACTTGACCCTTTGGTCCCTCTGCAGTGGCTCCTTCAGGCTTTGACCAAAACTATCATAAAACTGAATTTTATTGAAATTATTGCCAACAATGAAAATGGCTAATTTTAACAGATTTCCTGTCTTTTTCAAATATGTGAAGAATAGTACAAATACAAGGTGTAAAACATGTGGACTACATCATGCTAGTAGTTTGTTAGTCACTTTAAGTCGACCTCCAGTCTCACAGCTGATGTTTCTCTCAAAACCACCAGAAAATTTTGGAATATCTTTAAGACAAGCTGCAGAGAAGGAATATTGGATGAGTCAAAGAATAAAACACAAAAAACAAAGTCAAAGTAAATGAAAGTATTTTTCTTTAAAAATGTAACTGGATATTCAACAAACTGGCCTAATTTTATACTGTCTTTAACTTTATGCTTTAAGTAGTATCAAAGGCGTCAGAAGCATCCGTAATGTGGGGGGGACACAATGATGTGTGTAGGTGTGTGCGC